CTGTTTGACACAATATAACAAATTGTTAGATTGTGAACTCTCATTTTATCATCAGAAATCAAGAATTTCCTGGAGCATCAAAGGGGATAGATGTTCTGATTTCTTTCATAAAGCCTTGAAAAACAACAGGAATCAAAACAGAGTTTTAGTCCTTTATAGGGACACTGGAGAAAGAATAACAAATAGTGTTGAAATTACAGAGGAATCTGTATCATACTTCAGGAATCTAATGGGGAATGCTATTGATACCAAAATGCCTGATATGAATGTGATTAAATCAGGCCCCCGCCTCAGTGAGAATCAAGCTAAATTTTTACAGAGACCTGTTTCAAAAGAAGAGATTAAAGCGGCTGTCTTCTCAATGTCAGATAATAAGTCTCCTGATCTTGATGGATATGGTGCTTTCTTCTTCAAATCATCTTGGTCGATTATAGGAAATGAAGTCACTCAAGCTTTGCAGGATTTTTTTCTCTTCTGGAAAACTTTTGGGCACGATAAACACTACCTCAATTACACTAATACTAAAGGTACAATGCCCTAAAACACCTTCTGATTTCAGACCTATATCATGCTGTAACAGTCTCTATAAGTTCATTTCTAAAATTCTGGCTAATAGAGTTAAATCAGTCTTCAGGTTCCTAGTTAATGAGGCTCAAAGTGCTTTTATTAAGGGTAGGCAAATAACAAGTAACGCCCTTTTAGCCCATAAGCTTGTCAAAAGCTACAGCAGAAGGAATGTTTCTCCCAGAATCATGTTGAACATTGATATTAAGAAGGCTTTTGATACCATAAGTTGAAAATTTCTGCATGAAATGCTTAAAGGACTTGGGTTTCCAAAGAAATTAATTGACCGGATCATGATATGTATATCAACTCTGAAATACTCTATTTCCCTAAATGGATCTCTACATGGTTATTTTAAAGGGGAAAGAGGATTGAGACAGGGTGACCCGCTTTCCCCTTATCTTTTCATATTGGGTATGGAATATTTGTCAAGAAGTTTAGACCTCCTGAAGCTGGATAAACAGTTTAAATATCATCCTAAATGTGCTAAAATAAAGATATCTCACCTTATCTTTGCTGATGATTTGTTGCTCTTTAGTAAAGGAGACCTATATTCAATAATGAGACTTTATCAGTGTGTCACTGACTTTAGCGATATAACTGGTCTTGAAGCTAACAAAAATAAATCAGCAATTTTCTTTGGAGAGGTTGAAGAATCTGTTAAAAGTCCTATCAAAAATAATCTGTCTCCCAGATGGCAGTTTCCCTATCAGATACTTGGGGGTTCCTCTTGTCTGCAAAAGGTTGTCTTATGAAAACTGTAATGCTCTCATCAGTAAGATATCAAACCAAATTCAGGTATGGAAAAAACACAGAGAGCTCACTTATGCTGGAAGATTACAGGTTATTAAGAGCGTGATTATGTGAGTTCAGGTGTTTTGGACATCTAATTATATCTTGCCAGCTAAAGTAACTCAGAAAATAGATGAAATCTGCAGGAATTTTTGGTGGGGTTCTAAAATTCCACTAGTCTCCTGGGATAGTGTTTGCCTGAGCAAAAAACAGGGAGGACTTAGGATATTCTCGGCTTCAACCTGGAATTTAGCAGCAATTCTAAAAAACATTTGGCATATTCATGTAAACAAGGAAATTATGTGGATCAAATGGATACATGGGAATTACCTGAAGCAAATAGATATTTTGCATGTTGCAGCAAGGCCTGTGGACTCTTGGATGTGGAAACAACTTTAAAAGCAAGAGACAAAGTATTGCATTCCTGTGGTGGAGTTGATAATTTGATTCAGTTGATAGGCACTTGTTGCAGGGGATCTAAATTGAAGATATCTATATATACCATGCAATTATCCCAGTAGGCACTAATGTTCAGTGGCTTAATACACTGTGGGATGGAATGTGTTATCCAAAGTACTCCTTCATCAGTTGGTTGGCAGTTAAAATAGACTAAATACCCAGGACAGATTGTTACGCAAGGGTATAATAAACTCAAATAAATGCACTTTATGCCATGGTGCTCATTTGGAATACAGAAATCATTTTTTCTTTGAGTGTTCTTATTCTAGTGAAGTATGGAACTGTATCATGAGCTAGTTATAGTTTTCCTAGAGGTCATGCAATTGGGATTTAATATTGGACTGGTATAGTTCAAGACTTAGAGGGAAGGGGATTAAGCAAAGTGTTAAAAGGATGGCTCTTTTGACCACCATATATTCAGTTTGGAATGAAAGGAATATTAGAATTTTTCAGAGGAAAAGGAGAACTGTTGAGCAACTGGTTAAATGTATCAAAGTAGATATCTTGACAATTCTTCTCAATATTCATATCCCAGATGAGAATAAAGGCTGGATTAGTTCTCTATAACATGCATAGAGGTGGTGTGCATGTTTATCTGTTACATAACTTCTGAGATCATGAAGTTACAGTGGTCTGGCATAAGAAATTTTGGTGCTATACTCAGCTAACAGTAGATTGAATGCTCATATATCCAGTGTCTACTTTTAGACACTGGTTTTTAGTTACAGTTCAATTCTTTGAGCTTTAACTATAGATTTTGTTTTTGTTATCTCACATATATGTTGTTGAGATTATTGATGTACACTAATTTCACACATTTGGTGATGAATAAAATTTTTCATTTACCAAAAAAAAACTAGACATAATAACTGAGAGAATAGTGTGAAGCTAGTCTAACTGATACGATCTGTCCACTCTATGACCGATCCCAATTCGTTGGCCACTGTGCGAATCTTGTGCAACATGTGATTTTAAATCAAATGAAATAATACAACCAGAATCAACTAACTGACTAATAGAAATAAGATTCATAATGAATTTAGGAACATATAGAATGGATGGTAAGGTAAGAGAAGATGATGCAATATCACCACACTAAGTTACTGTAAAAGGGGAATTGTTAGAAGTATATATGAATGAAGATGTAATAGGAGTGCAGTTTTGAATAAAAAAAATAGTTAGGGGTCATGTGTTATAAGGCACTTGAATAAAGTATCCAAGAAGCTGAGTTACTCGAAGTAGTAGCAAAAGCTAGAATATTAAAACTGGAAGGAGTCTCAGTGATACCAAGATTTTACGCAATAAAATTAGCAATGACAGATATCTGAGTTGTGGAAAGAGAGTTGAAAGTAGCAGTAGTCTAAGAAGTAGCCATATTCTGAGGAGGATATAAAACCTTTGTAGGATACTTTTCCAGCCAGTGTTCTTGAAGCTTACAATGAGGACATGTACCCAAAGGTGATGTTTCAAGTGTCCCTCATTCTTGTAGTTGTGACAAACTCCAGGAGAAGTACCCTTCTTGTTCATGATGACGATAGAAAAACACGATGGAGTAGCGTCAAATGCTGATGTCATAGGATAACGACGACAAAATTTTCTTGACGAGGAAGCGCAAGAAAGACTGGTGGTAAAGATATCCCTAGATGAACAATATGATGAATAGTATCATCGATGAACAGTGCCCTTGTGGATGAACGGTGCCACAAGTAGTAAGGTTAGGTGAGATTAGGGCAGGGTTTTGTCGAGATCTGGTTAACGACGAGGAAAGCGACAGACACGAGATCAACAACGATCACGAGGTTTGATGGTGATCACAAGTTGATGATGATGATGGTGGGAGCAAATCCGACCTAGTTGTTTCTGACGACAATGATGGCTAACTTAGATTTAGAGTTTTAAATAGGCTCTTATCTCATGATAATTATGAGAAAATATTGTGTATATTGATATTAGAATATATAGTACAAATATATGAACAATGCATGGTCTAAGTGGGCCAATGCTGGGCCTATACACGTGGACATGTCCATAGAATTAAATATACATTAAAAATATATTAAAACTTAGACCACTACACAAGTCACAATGCCTATAATTAATCTAAAAGTTGATGCATATTTTTGTTGCACATTTCACTCAATGGACTAAATCCACTGGATACAGTTAACACAAATACTTCTCCAATTGTAATCATTTTTAGGAAAAATTGCTTCAAGGCCCTAAATTCTAACTTTCAATGTGCCCCAGCCCCCTCAACTTTCACCAATGTGTTGCAGCCCATTCTTTTTGAAAAAATTATGTTCAGGCCCCTCCAGCTCACCTCCCCCAAGTTCCAATGCAACCTCCTGCAAAATCCTAATTTTACCCTCCCTTACACCTTCCTCCTCGTCCTTTCCTATACCTCCCTCCTCCTCCTTCGGTCCCCCTCCCCCACCTCCCTCCTCCGCTCCGCCGCCAACGCCATCTCGAGGAACTTCGCGTCTCATCTTAACTATTATATAATAGTTAACATGTTAACTATTATAGCTAACATGTTAACTATTATAGATAATATGTTAACTATTGCAGTTCACACATTGAGCTCAAAACATATTTATGAAATTATAATAGTTAACATGTTATCTATAAAAGTTAACATGTTATCTATAACAGTTAACATGTTATCTATAACAGTTAACATGAGCTGGCATGAGAAAGAGAAAGGGTAAAATTATAATTTTAGGTGGACCCGCGTCAAATCATGAGCTGGAATGCATTGGAACTTGGGGGAGGTGAGCTTAAGGGGCCTGGACACAATTTTTTCAAAAAGAAGGGGCTGCAGCACATTGGTGAAAGTTGGGGTTGGGGTTGGGGTTGGGGTTGGGGGGGGGGCACATTGAAAGTTAGAATTTGAGGCCTTGAAGCAATTTTTCCTCATTTTTATTGCCATTATAAAAAATCATAATTATTGTCAACATAATGTACATTTAAAATTAAACTCCAAATTTTGTAATAGAATAGTGATTCACCTTATCGAACTCCTATAGTGACCAAACTACCCCTCACTAACCCCCACCACCCTCCACCCAACCAAGGGCACACCCCGTCCACTCAGCTCTCCGTCTATGTTCCTAGCTCTCCCATATCGTAACTTATAAAACAACCATTAATTAAAACACATAAATAAACTTCATAATTAACTTTATTAAAAAAACTGTCCACCTCTTCGATCTTCATGGTCCTTCCACCACCCTCCTCCTAAAAAACCCACCAAAAATCCAAAAGAAAAAGAAAAAAGACATGGAAAAATGCTGAAGAAATTCACAAATCTCGCCTTCCAATGGCGGCTCTCTCTCCTCTCTCTAACCCCTCTCATCCTCTTCTTCTTCCTCCTGACAAACTCAATCTACCTCAATCAACTCTTTCACAATTCAACTCCATCTCCTCCTCATCATCAGATTCTCAACAAAAATTCAGACCTGAACCAGACGAGGATAGCCATCTGTCTTGTCGGTGGTGCCAGGAGATTCGAGCTGACGGGACCGTCGATACTAAAGAACCTGTTGGAGGAGTATAAGAATGCTGATTTGTTCTTGAATGCTCCTTTGGATGGAGACGCTTATAAGTTTTTTTTGTTGAAGAGAGCTCCGAGGATTGCAGGTGTTAGAATTTTTGAACCGGAATTTATGAATGAGACTCAGGCGCAGATTCGAGTGCTCACCGCCGATAACTCGCCTAATGGGATTCAGGTTTGTAAGTTTTCGGGTGTATTTTGCAATAAAAAGTTATTCATTATTAGCTATATGGATGAATTAATTTAGAAACAAAATATTGGTATAGAAATTTGAATCCATATAATGATTTCTAGTAAAAGATAAGACCTATATATGCATGCTTCTAACATATTTTGGGTTATCTTTTGTAGTAATATTTTTTTTATTAGGGCATTTTTTACGTCCTGTGAATTTACAGTGGAAAAAAAAGTTAATTTCTAATTGAAGACTTTTAATAAAGTGATGGTTTGCAGTAATTTATAGGTTTTGATGGACTGAATAGTAATTTCAAAGTTTTGAGGGGCTAATTTAAAAATACAAAAGATGTAATGAACCAATATGTAAAAACCCTCAAGGTAAATTTATGTTATTAATATTGTAATGGAAAATGTATTTGTGAATGAGTGATGGTATGCTTTTAGAGATTCCTAAATTAGAGATGACAATTCAGTGAGCAAAATGAGCCGTCAATATACTTATTTTTCCTAAGTGATTGGTAGATGGATTGTCATTTTTTAGTAACTCGTTTAGCAAAATGAGTCGTTAACTTATACCCATCAGTTTCCATTTATCATATTTATTTATTACTTATATAAGTTATTTAATCTTTTTTGAATCACAATTGGATTAACGGGCTCAAGTCTCTTGGTTCTTATCATAAACCTTTTATTGTTATTCAGATTAAAAGATTGTTCTGTTCTATATCCATTTAAATCCTCAATAAGCACTAATTTTGGATTATAGTTGGAGTCTAATTGAGATTTCTCCTGTGTCTAATGATTCAAAACTAATGACTGTTTAGTAATTTAAAAAATTGATCTAGCTAGAGCAGACAACTGGAAAATTTGTATCCAATTAAAATGTTTCACTTTATAAAAGTAAGTAGAGACAAACAGGAGTTCCTTCAAAAAGTGGGGAAAAGTACATTTTTAAGTAGAATTCCTCAGAAAAGTGATGCAATCTGGTCTATTTTAATTCGCAATTAATTGTTTAGATGTGGCTTCTGCTGTTAAATAACATGAACATGTAATTATCCTTAGCCGGAGTGAGAATTAAAGCATAAAGTTCTCTGACCATTATGCCTTATGCATCTACGTTTTGTTTTCTCCTGAAGAAACCTTTGCCTTCTGCATTGAAGCCACGCAATCCTTAATTGGATGTAAATAAATAAAATATAATATGGTTTTCGCATGTAAATAAATAAAATATAAATAAGATTGACATGTTTTACATTCTCACTTGTGACTTTTCTGCATAATTTGGATGTAAAGCAAATATAAAATTTCAGTAGACTCCCGAGAAGTTTGGCCTATTTGAGAAAACCACTACAAGATTTGAGATCTCTCTTATCCCATTGCTTTTTCAGATAACTCAAAGAAAAAAAAAATGAAGGTTATTTAAAATATTGACTCAGAAAAAATTCAAAAGTTTTTCTAAACGTTCTAAAAAGTCATCTTAAAATGGGTCAAATTTTGTGGAGGTTTTGTAAGCATTCTAAAAGGTTTTTATATAGTTTGTCTAGAATACAAGTTGAGCAACCTAGTTTTAGCTAAAAGATTATATAACATATGTAAACTAATTGCTAGTGCTCAAAATCATTATTTGATTTTGATATTTATTACATTTAGATGATAAATGAGAGGATATGATTATCGTCAGGAGATGACTTGGTAAGTGTTTCTTGTCAAAGTTAAACTATATGTTTATAAATGATGATTTAGACGGCTAAGCTAAAGCTGTTACCGTCAACTATGAGAAGAATAATGAACTAATTTGTTGCGTGACTAAACCTTAGACGGCTAAGATTATTTTTTTTTTTTTTTTTTTTTTTTTTTTTTTTAATTTTTTTTTTTTTTTTTTTTTTTTTTTTTTTTTTTTTTTTTTTTTTTTTTTTTTTTTTTTTTTTTTTTTTTTTTTTTTTTTTTTTTTTTTTTTTTTTTTTTTTTTTTTTTTTTTTTTTTTTTTTTTTTTTTTTTCACATAATATTACTATGTAGTGTATTGCTACACGCACACTCCGATCCACACACCAGCCACACTCTCTCACTCTGCTAGTGCAGGGGGCCCCACTTGAATTTTTTTTAAAAATTTCAAGTGGGGCCTCCCTGCACTGTAGCAGGTGAGGGGTGGCTGGTCGGTGGTGGCCGGGAGGCTGGTGTGTCCTGTGGGCATTTTTTAATTAACATATTCAACCAGGATGTCCGAGATTTGTTACTCTTATAAACTAGGGTTATATTTGTATAAACGCTAGGAGGTCAATTGCAAGATTAGAATTTCTGCACCCAATCTGCTACGGATCAGGATCAAATTGTACATAAACAAATCTGCTACCGATCAGGATCAAATTGTACATAAACAGTATAAGAGTTTACTTTCGGTGATAAACTACCTATTACACATGCAGATGATTTTTATTTACTTTGGTAAGAAGTAAGAAATGGTTTAATTTGTAAAGTTGAGATAACAATTACATCTAGATTAAATAATAAACGTTCTAGATATATATCAAAGTACAATTGCATTAAAGAATAGAATACTGGCCTAGTGGTTGGGCTCCTATGACATGCCTAAAGAAAATCATACGTAAAGGAGGAAGAACATCGCACGTGTTCTATGGTGGAGAGCGTGGTGGGATGGTCCATCAGTGCGCTTGAGCTTCAAATGATTTATAGCTTTTTGATCTGAGCGTCCAAATGAGATGTTCGGAAAGTGGCGGCTTAGCGCTACAATGCGGTAAACGTTTGAGGTCATTTCGGGCTGTTTCGGCGTTGTTTATCCTAAACTATTTTGTGTTATGTTATTCTCAGCTTTTATATTTGGCCGTGAATATTTGCGTTCTAACTTTTTTTTAGCATCAATTGAATATGTAAAAAATACTGAATCAGTTACCAACATTAATACATAAATCAATAACAATGACGCTACTCCCCTTAATCCTGCAGGGCCTCCTTCAGTATTTCAACCTAGTAGAAGGCTGCCTGAACCTAATAACCTCCTACGAGTCTAAACACAACTTCACCTACGACTGGATCGTCCGTACCCGAGTCGACGGCTACTGGTCCGCTCCTCTCAGCCCTGCTGCTTTCACCCATGGTTCCTACCTCGTCCCCGAAGGCTCTCGGTACTCCGGCCTCAATGACCGGCTTGGCGTTGGTGACCGCTCCACGTCGATAGCCGCGCTGTCGAGATTGTCGCTTGTCGATGAGCTCAATGTTGCGGGATACGAGAGGTTGAATTCGGAGGCAGCATTTGAGGCGCAGTTGAATGTGTTGGGGGTTAGAGGGAAGGAAATGCGGTTTCCGTTTTGTGTTGTGAGCGACCGGCAGTACTCGTTTCCGCCGGACAGGTATATCCCAAATTTTCTCCCTCACCACTACAACAAAAGTTGTAAATTATGATACATTTTTTGTCTCTACGCTACACATTTTTGTGTCGCACAAATCAAACGCGACACGTATCAAAAATGTAGTTAGAGCATGTGTGGAGAGTGTCTTTCTACACATGTGAGAATGTGTCACAAACTCACGACACATATATATGTTAAGAGTGGTGATACATACATGTATCATAAAACGCGTGACATATATATGTATCAAGAGTGGTGACACATACTTGTGTCTAGACCATAAAAATATAAAGAGTATCATCATTCAACACTATTACTTACCAGAAGGTCACCCATTCTAGGATTACTCTCACCGAAACACACTTAACTATGGAGTTTCTTAACTTATACAAAATCATAAATGTTCAATCATCATCATAATTACAATATAAGATATATTATTTAAGCATATTAATAGATCCTCTCACAATCCATGTTAGACTATTAGTCTTTTTCAATTATATTTAATTGTATATCTAATGACACAAATATGTGTCGCGATTTGCTACACTTTTTATTCGTGTCACTATTGTTCAATCATTTGTAAATAAAATGATACTTTTATACATGTTATAAACTAAGTATGGACACATACAACAATTTATTGTAGTGCCCTGAACTATGGACATAATTATGTGAATTTTAGTCCTTGTAGAATCACTAGTGATACGATTATATATATATATATATATATATATATATATATATATATATATATATTGGTTTTATTCAATAAAAATATGATAGATATTAAATCTCAAAGAAAAAATATCATATACTGTCATGGTGTTCTCAATTATCAAAGTGCAGCTCTTCACCAGCAACAGTACAAGTGTACTTCTGCCTGCAACGCCCCAACAAGATTGGCGACCAAGATCAGCAAGGATCTCCTCTCAGCTGACTCGTCGAGTTGACATCCCCTAAGGACGACTCGAATGGCGGCACTTGTTGACACAAAAGGCTGAATTTGTCGACCTCCCTTTGTTGAAGGCGACTCACCATGAGCCCAATCGACCCAATCAACTCTCCCCCCTGCGAGGTCGACTCGAGAGGCGTCATTTCTCGGCCAAGTTAGAGGATGACTTTAGCCTCGAGCCTCTCCCAATGACAACATGTCAGCATCTCATCAATGCTTGTCAGACATCATCATGCCTCTGCCCTCGACAGTCTTCATGACTTATTAGGCCATGTTGTGCTTCGTGCGCCACACATCACATCATGTCAGCACCGATCACGCAGCTAGTCACCAGCCGACACCTATAAAGCAAGTGCAGATGTAACTGCCAGCACATGCTTCTTCACCGCTATCCTGTGCTCGGCCAGAATGATGGTTCTACCCCTCATACCCATAGGTATAAATAGATGTACTATTCTAACTTAGAGGGGGATCAAATCTATGGATCCAGACCCTCAACTCAGATCTAATTTTAGTCCAATATTGGACTCTGGGGATTCTCCATGAATTCCTTTGTATCTTACTGCACACAAGAACTCTCACAGTTCTTCTCACCCCACTCAAGTTTATCAGCTGACTTGATCGTTGGATGTACTAGGGGGGATCCAAGCCCCGTCCTCTCACGAGTCTTTCCCTCTCCCCCAACTCCGAGCCAGACATTCGGGGAAGGAAGCAGCCCCATCCATCATCATCATCTCATCCCACCGCGGATGCTATCCGACTGTTTGAGCTCCAGCAGCATCAACAGTTTGGTGCCCATCGTGGGGCACTCTTTCTTTAACTGTTTGATCCAGCATCAACAGTTTGGCACCCACCTGGGGCCTTTTTTTTCGAGCCCATCCATCATCATCATCTCGTCCCACCGCGGATGCTATCCGACTGTTTGAGCTCCAGCAGCATAAACAGTTTGGTGCCCACCGTGGGGCACTTTTTCTTTGACTGTTTAATCCAGCATCAACAGTTTGTCACCCAGCTGGGGCCTTTTTTCTTTTTTGAGAGAACATGTCCGGTTCAGAAGATAAGGTCGAGCAGTCTTGCCATGGAGGACCCCATCAGAGCTACGCTACTCAAGCTCAACTTGAAGCAATAGCTCAAAATTTTTCTCAATCTTTCCAAGAGAAATTTGATGCCTTCACCAGCGAGCTTCTCAGTCGACTTCCACAGCCGTAGCAGGCAATTTTTGCTATTCCCCCGACTTTTGGAGCATAGCAAACAATCCCAACTCAGACTCCTCATGCAGCTACCGATTAGCGAAAGGATCTCATCGAACATGCGACCCCACCACCTCATCGGTCGACTCTCCAATGTCTCCTCCATCATTAGGAACTCACTGGTGAGAGTCCCAGCGCAGGCAACCTTGGGCATCGCACTAGGGGAGTAGTCTCTAAGACTCTCCCCCACCACCGTGCCTCTCTGCTACCACAGGGGCCTCTGGATACGATCGAGTGTACAGACCGATCGCAGGCGTCATTAGGGTAACACTCCTCTTTCAGATGACCTCATGAATGCCCCATGTGAGAAGTTCAAGATGCTTCACGTGAAGAAATACAAGGGCGAGGGAGACCCCTACGAGCATGTTCTATGATGTGATGAGCATGCTCCAAGCATCAGAAGTAGTCATATGTAGATGCTTCCCTATCACTCTTTTGGAGAGTGCCAAGCTCTGGTGGAACACTCTTGAGAAGAAGTCCATCAGTAACTTCCAATAACTTAGTCGGATGTTCATCCATCACTTTCTAGCTGACACCAAGTAGAAATTACCCCCTCATGTGTTAATCCAAATGAGGCAAGGACCCAGAGAGAGTCTTCAAGCCTACTTCAAGAGGTTCTAGGAGAGGAGGCTAGAGGTCAATGATCCAATGAGTGCAGTTGCTATGTCAGCACTCGTGGCTGGCTTGTAGAACAATGAGTTAGCCGACTCGCTTGCTAAGAAGCCAGTCTCCAATTATGAGCACCTGGTGGTCAAAGCTCACAGGTACATGGACATGGAAGATGCTCGAGCCTACAAGGTGGTAGCCATGGTCACAGAGACCTCTATAGCTATAACTTTAGCCCCAGCTTCGGCGCTAGCTGTTGGTGCCTTCTTAGGGTAAACCCAAGGCACTCTTGCCCTTTGGTCGATCGACTCCCACATTTACCACTCGACCACCACATCAAGGCCTATAATCCCTTGGTGCCTTCTCAGGGTAAACCTAAGGCACATTCAACATTTGGTCGACTCTCACATTTACCACTCGACCACTATGGTAGGGCGAAAGACCCAGGCCTAATGTAAGTCTTGGGCATCCAACCTCAGGGTTGTCATTTACCATTTGGCCATCAGGGTGGCCCTCAGTAAGGCGAAAGTCCTAGCTATCCTCAGTAGGATCTAGGCACCCAACCCCAGAGTTATCATTTTGCCATTAAGACCTTGGTATCTTCATGAGTAAACCCAAGGCATGGAGTCCAATCGTCCAGTCGTCTTTGGTAAAAAGACTTAAGGCACTTCAACTTGCAAGTCTTCTTCGATAAAAGACATAGACATCTCGCCTACAAGAAGCGCGATATGAGCCAGTCATCTCGTCCCTTCAACATTCGGGTCGACATAACACGACCGACTCATATCAATTGTCACTTGTTTCTTCCAATCAGAACAATGCTACAAGTAACCAGTAGCCCCAACTTCAGCAGCTGTAGCTGCTGGGACCGCCCCCTCTGCTCTAAGGAGGGAAGAATAGTTAATAACGACGACCTCATCCGGCTCAACAACTAAGACGGCCAACTAGTGCTCTTCGGACTTGTCGATCTGGACTAGCCCAGTCGACCTGCTGAGAATGCACACCCACGCCCATCTAGAGCTTCAATCATTTTACTTAGACCTGGCTCTAGCCGACTCTAAGCGAAAGGGGTCAAATGTTATGATGTTCTAAATCAACAAAGTATGACCCTTCACCAGCAACAATACAAGTGCACTTCTACCTACAACGCCTTAACCAGATTGGCGGCCAAGATCAGCAAGGATCTCCCCTCAGCTGTCTCGCCGAGTTGACATCCCTTTAGGACAACCCGAATGGTGACACTTGTCGACACGAAAGGTGGAACTTGTCGACCCCCCTTTGTCGAAGGAAGCTCACCATGAGCCCACTCGACCCAGTCAACTCGACCCCCCTACGAGGTGAACTTGAGAGGTGTCATTACTCGGCCAAGTCAGTAGACAACTTTAGCCTCGAGCCTCTCCCCTTGACAACATGTCAGCATCTCATCAATGCTTGTCATGCATCATCATGCCTCTGCCCCTGATAGTCTTCATAACTTCTTAGGCCATGTTGTGCTTTATGTGCCACACATCGCATCATGTCAGCGCCGATCACACAACTAGTCGCCATCCGACACATATAAAACAAGTGCTGACGCAACCGCCAGCAAACACTTCTTCACTGCCATCCTGTGCTCGGCCAGAATGATGGTTCTACCCCTCATACCCATAGGTATAAATAGATGTACTATTCTAACTTAGAGGGGGATCGGATCTCTGGATCCAGACCCTCAACTCAGTTCTGATTTTAGTCCAACATCAGACTCTAGGGATTCTCCATGAATTCATTTGCATCTTACTGCACACAATAACTCTCACAGTTCTTCTCACCCCATTCAAGTTCACCAGCTGATTTGATCGTCAAAGGCACCATGGGGGATCCAAGCCCCGTCCTCTCACAAGTCTTTCCCTGTGCAGGCTGAGTAACTCCCCCAACTCTGAAACCGGACATTCAGGAAGGAAGCAGCCCCATCCATCATCATTATCTCGTCCCACCGTGGATGCTATCCGACTGTTTGAGCTCCAGCAGTATCAACAGTTTGGCGCCTACCGCGGGGCAGTCTTTCTTTGGCTATTTGATCCAGCATCAACACATACTATCTGTCTAGTTCTAAAAAAACGTTCAAAATGTCACAACCCAAACTCCTTAGGGGTGGAAAGGAATTGGGAAGGTTACAATGCTAACAACCTAAAAATGTTTTTTATTTATATTTTTTAATAAGTAAGGGGAAGGGTTGAGAGGGTTAAAACGAAGCAAATTTCCTTGCTTTCCTAACCCTGCAAAACTGGACGGTTTGGGGTGGGGGTAGAGATTAAGTTCTAAGTGATTTTTTCTTAAAATTCTATAATTATCCTTAGACTTAAGGCATATTTGTTATGTAGATTCCCTCCCTTCCTATTCCCTATTCTAAACAAACACAAATAGTAATGAGCCCCTCTCTTCCCCTAGTTATTTATCCAAACACAATTAGTTCTATCACACTCCTTCCCTTTCCACTCTCCCATTGGGATTATTATAATCATTTCTCTACCTTTCCCTCTTTTGTATTCAAACTCATCATAGGGTACGTAGAAAATCCCTTTCAAGTTTCAACATTTTTTTTCCAAATAAAAAAACTATCGACATTAACGGCAATTTTCACATGAGTGAGTAAATTATGTAGAGAGATATTTTTACCTAGTGAAAGTTGTGGTTCACGCACGCTTTTAGATTGACTAATTAAAAAAAAGACAAAGGTAGTCTTATTAGAACTCCAAAACTTAAGACTGTTTTTGACATTTTAAAAGTTCAGAGGGGTTCTCTGAGAAATGCCCTCACTAAAAAGAGGGGTTTTATGAAATTTAACCAAAAGTAAATAAAGGAAAGAATGTCTAAAACATATCACGTGCCTAATAAGTGTCAATTGACCTAACATTAGTAAGTCATGATAGTTTAGTGGAAAAAAAATTGCTTTTGTTTTTACATGGAATTGCTTTTAAGAAATTTATTCGAAATAATGTAAGATTAACAATAAAAAGATGCTGCGTACTTCTTGACTTTTTCTATGTTACACTGAATTAGGATCCGCAGATGTTGAGACATCTGCAGATGCCCAATCTTAGTGTATTTATGTCAAATCCAAACCTATCTTCATAAAATAGACAACTATAGATTCCAGTGTCTAAACTTCTGTTTTTTTTCCCCTTTAAAGTTACTAGTCATCAATTAAGGTCTACTTGTTGACAATCTGGACCAAAACTGTGCATGGACTGATTATACGTGAAGAAGGGCAAGGAATATTATAAAAGCACAAATACTAATACACATATCACTATCAGCCATCAACATAAAAAAACGCTGGTGGCGTGATTTACGTACTAGATTCATGTTAGACTAGATGTCTTCAACCGAACAAAACCAAATTTCTTCGATTGAATTGATAAATTAAATTTTTACAGGTACGGAGTGCCAGTAGCATCCATGGCAAGCAAAGGCCCTCTCAGCGGAGCAAAATGTCGACCATGCAAACCAATATGCAGAGGACAATGCGTAGCAAAAACCATGAAAGAACTTGACAAAAACTGGAGCTGGACTGAATACAAAAACGGAAGTCTAGATCTATGCAACGCAAGTGGAGAATGGGAAAATGGATGGGAGGAAATTTTCGATAGAATCGCTGGAAAAGACGCAGCGAAAGAAAGGATAGAGATGAAAGAATTAGATGTGAAGGGATGCGTAAAAAAGTTTCAGGCAATGAAGCGGAGAACAGAGAGATGGGAGACCCCGGCGTTAGTGAGGATTTGTCGATTGGGTTTGGAGAGATTTGAGTCTTCGACTCCATGATAATAATCTTAGAATGCTAGTGGTTCAAATTAGTTTTCTTTTCCCTCAACTTTTGTCTTCATTTTTTTTGTAAATTGTTATAGTATTGATAGTTTTTGTCGTATAAAAGAAGGGTTACCTGGGGATAGACCACTTGTACTATTGCCCAATTGCGAATATTGCTGCGGATGGATCCCAAGGGAAGTTTTTGACTCTTATACACTTAGAAGGTCTATTAAAGAAAAAAAAAAGTTCTCTCTTCTTACGGGTAAAAGAGTAAAAGAATTTAGCTTAGGGGTTTTATTTACAGCAGTAGAACTACAGAGGGTATATTCGTAAGTGGGCGTAGGGGTGGAAAGGAACCAAATAATTAACAAATAGAACGTTCATTATTCGACTAACTATTGGTCATATTCAATCTGATAGTTCATCTAACACTAATCAAATAACATCTAGTATTCAAGTTCATTAACGAATAGAATTTAACCAGGGGCATATTCGATACGTTTGCTTATATTATATATTCGTTTAAAATTTGTATCATTACGCATATGATTTTATATTTTCAACCAGCTTATATTTTCTACTTTAAGTTCTATATACTAGTTTTGAGAAACTTAAAAGAATCTTAAATCAATTTTCTAATTAAACATTCGAATTATATACACACACATCATAACTATAAAGAAATAATTTTCATTTACAAATTTAAATACCTTTTAAAAATTAAATTCTTTAGCAGAATCAATATATTTTGCCATTTGATAAATATTCATGAATATTTATCAAATACCAAGTACTCGAATTCAAATTCAAAAAACCACCGACATGGATATTTGAATTGGGGTTTGAATTCGAACAAATACAAATACGAACATGTCAGTATTTGATTTGATCCGTTCATTTACCACGCCTACGTGGGGGGTTAGTAGAGATGGTCTTTAACTCTATAAAACAACTTCTGATGTTACGTACAGACTTTGAAAGAATTGAATGGACAGTACATAACTTATATCAAGCTTTAAGCCCACTTAGAAATCGATTTTCAATTCTATGTTTGACATATTTAAGCCGTACAATTTTAGATTGTTAATATTGTCTTAAATCTATTTAATACAAATGTCACATCTATTGGTAGGATGGGGCCAGACAACAATTAGGTGGACGAGAGGTTGGGTTTAAACTTGTTGCTTGCAATTCAGAGTTCAAATGGTTTAGCTTTGAATTCAAGGATTTGGCCACCTAAAGAAAATGAAGTTGGCTCTCCATTTGCCTACTTCTAAAGCAGCATCTATGTGAATTTGTTGGCATTAATTGGTGGTTTAGGTAGAGCGCACTATACTTTATTCTTTTTCTTTTTGAGGGCTACACTTGTCGTACATGATAGGGGATCGGAAGCGTGGAGCTCCATTTTTTTTTTTTTTAATATTTCAAATCATGAGAATATATGAATCACAACAAAGCAACATGAAGCAAAAAAGGCCGAAAAATTCTTACTTATATTATGTCAAAACAATTTTTGTTATTTTGAACAGCGGAACAAGATGTTTTGAATTTTTTTTTTTTTAAGTAAAGCCAGTTCAATTATCTAGCCCTCCCATACAAAACGCATTAGCATCATTGAAACACCAATTTAAAAGGTTTTGAGGAAAGTCGGAAGCCCACATACATCGTCCTTTGACAAGACTTCAGCCCAAAAATATATGTGCGATGAACGTCTACCGTGGACACATTTTTCACCAGGACACATGCTTGGCGGATCAGCCATAAGCAGGCCCATTAAAAAGATCTCTCTTATAAAACAAGGAAACAGCCTGTGATTCAGTCCACAGGCTACCATGGCCCAACAAACGAAGGCTCTAAATTTCAAAGAACTTGAGTCTCCTTTTTACCAGGCCCTGTGGCCCCAGTGGGCTATTTGGTGCACTAGCTTGGGCCTCTTCTACGCAGGACAAGACTTCAGCCCCTATATATCTAAACAACGCGGATGGGGGTATTCTGAAAATATCAAATTTTGTTTGTGTTTAATCAATTAATCCGTGCTGAAATTTGGTATTTGCGGGAGAGTGACTCCTCATTTGTCAGATTATCCCATTACATTTTCTGAAACAAAATGAGCCGCATTTATCCGTTGCTCCTATTTTGAAATGAATATAAGAACAATATTTCAGAATAATCTCAGGTTGCGTTTGGATTTGAGGAAATGATTTCAAATTCCAGAATTAAATTCTAAAATTTAAAATTCAGAATTTCAAATTTAATCCCTTTGTTTGGGAAATATCCAAATTTGAATTTTAGAATTCAATTTGAAATTCATATTTGACAAACTTTAGAATTTTAGTTTTAAAATTTTCAATTGAGTTGTTTTTCAAATAGTAGAATTATAATTTCTAAATTAAAACTGTAGCTCAAATATAATTTAGAAATAAGATAATCAATTTACACAAGTTATGTATTATAATTTGTGGAAATAAATGCTTCAAATAGTATATCAGATATCCAACTAACTTGACATATAGATAAATACCTTAAAATCTTAAATGCAAGAATGTCAATAATTAACTTAATAATCGCCATAAAAATGACCGAAATCATTCATCAATAAAACTTTATAAACTCATCCACAACTAACTATAACAATAAATAAAATAGAAACTTCAAATATTCTATATAACAATTCAACAAACCAAAGATCCATAATATCCAACAAATACAAACCAATAGAAGTTAATATTTCCCCATTATACAGTGCCATGCTTAAGTTGCTCTCGCACTAATTTCTTTAGAACTTTTACATTTGATTCAAATAAGAGTTTGTTTCTAATGCTAATACACTTGTACTTTGTATTTCTCGTTGTAGCTTTCTCTCCTCGGTTCAAGAAGTAAGTCCTGCTTTGCGAGGTCTTAAATCACCTGAAACAAGAAGACCAAATCAGCTCCATTCTTAAAGACCGTGCATACTTGCAATAGAAAAGAAATCATGTTCTATTTAGATTGCTAGGAGTCACATTATATTTCAAAAATTAAAATATTGATGTGGAAGAGTGTTGTAGACCGTTTATGTTATTTTTGAAAAATCAAACTATATGCAAAATAAGTTCTAAAGTGTGATACTATGACGGTATTTGGGAAGGCTTATCTTTTTTTATCAAACGAGATTTTAAGCTAGCTTTTTTATTTCTCAATGTTTGGTAAAACGCCAAATATGTTAAATTATAAGTCTTATTTTAAAACCTGGTATACCCTAGCTTTAAAAAAACTAGCTTATAAGCTCACTTTGAAAAGCTAGGTTTGACCAAGCAAATTACTATTCTACTCAAATAATTTTTATAGTATTATTATAAAAAAACCAAAAGCCATTAAAAGTTAGCATGATCGATAAGCTACATAAAATAAGCCTTTCCAAAAGCCTCTATAAAGGGTCTATGTGCAATTAACCCTCCATGGTGTTCAAACATTTGATATGCACTAACTAAACTTACCTAACAAGAGCTTAAATGCAAACGAATAAGTTAATGAGTTATTTTTTTTACCTTAGTATGAGTTTTCAAGATATAGCATAATTCAAACTATCTTTTGATTGTCTGGAAGTAACTTCAACATTCAGAAATCATGTGCAGAACTAGCAATGAATCTCTTAACCGCCTTAAAAATTTGATGTGGGAGAACACCCCTCACTTTAGATATATACATCGCCATAAATCTCCTCACAATCGTCTTTTGGTGGGTTCGTACTCACTAGATACCCTCACTTTAGACATATCAGCATAAATCTCCTCGTAATCATCTTTTATTGGTTTGTACTCACCAGATACTCCTTAAGCATCTCACCAACATCATTTATTGCATCTGCTAAAGGGTCTCTCTTGAGCTTCTTATTGGATTTGGAAGTTGAAGATTATGAAACCTCTCTGCTAGAGCTCTCCCCTTCATTCGCACCTTCCATATCCATAGTTGTAATAGGATCATCAATTTGCTCTGCACCCTCGCTGATTTCTCTATCGGTGCCCATTAATACACATATATCATCACAGTACTCAATAGCTTTGTTTTGATATGCCTTGGCATCTGAACTTATCCATGCAGGCATGAGAAAATACAAAATTGTAGTGAGACAAAATCATAAAGACTTGAAAGAAGATGGATATATAGGAAAACTCATGGCACTAATACTACAAATAAACAAGACTAAGAACCAAAATCCAATATTCAGTGGGTATAAAAAACATAGCGGTCAATTTGTTAAAAATATAGAACAAATTAGTACTAATCAAACTAGACAAAATATAAAGATTTAAGCTAAAAACAAGGTACAGGTAGCAGAATCTCGGATACTACTCTCTTGCTGTGCTTGTACCTTTGCCTTTATAGCAATATTATAGGCCTTCTTCATGATGCCCTTTGCTTTTCTCCTAATTTGGCACTCAAATAATTGAACAAACAAAATTACCATAGATGTGAATGACTAGAATTTGTGCTTCATCTGTATTCAGACTGAGCTTGCTTCTGCAAATGGCATATGAAGGGGTCCTGT